TGGAGGCGCTATCGTGCTAGCAAAGCTTTCACACACACACCTGCAAACTGTGACCCTGTTTTTGTTGTAAACCGCATCAACAAACTGTCATTGTTCATTAGCGGGTCTGTTTCCACGGCAATCAGCATGTCTGTGAGCGCTAGCCACAGTAACACACAGCAGCCCTGGGTGTCTGATACAGACTGATACAAACTGCATTATAGTGCAATATTAAAATGCAAACTAATGATAATTTGATAATAGGAAGGAACAGATCAGAGAAACTCACCCTGAGTAGTTTCATTTTTTTTATTCTTTAAAGTAAAAAAAAAAAAAAAGATCCTCACCAGCTTATTTGCATTTGCACATTTGCAATGTCTTAAAGTTATATCCATCCATCTTTTTTCCGTCTGTCTCTTCTTTCAGGGGTTGACCAACCTCATTTTCTCCAACTCAGAGTTTCTGATTTTACAGGTTCTGCATTAAATCCCTGACTGTTCACTAGTATACATTGAAAGTTTTGTTCTTACATTAAAACCTGGTTAAAAAGTTATAACAGTTTAGGATAATTGTGATTTGATCACCTTGTAAATTTTAACATGAAATGAGTTCCAACCCTGACAATATAAACAGAAACATATTTTTTTTCTCTAAGATTTGAGCCTATTTGATCAATTTTGTGGCAGCTTCATAAAGAGAGAGACCACTGGCTGTCATGGTTTTATCTAAAGCTCAGATCCACATGCAGAGAAACCAATCCAGAGAGTCCAGGGGAAAAGGTTTAACAGGTTTTATTGAAGAGATAAAGAATCTCTGAACAGACTCCAATCTGTGTGCTGTATTCCAGTGTTAGTCTGATTCAGTGGAGGGCAGAACAGGGTTTACCCAAAACACGGTCAGTTGTAGGTGAACAGAGAAACTGACTGTCACTCAGATTTCCTGCGGTACTTGAACTGGTCGTAGTGGAGATGATTCCCTTGCTCAGTGTGTAAACTCAACGTCCTCTCTGGGAAACTGGATCCAAACCTCCAGTTTGAATCCCCAGCTCAGTTTGAGGCTCAGTTGATCCCTCCACGGAGTGAAGGTCCCAAAGATCCAGTTTGCAGGATGACTTCCCAAAATTGGCAAACACTCTGGTGTCGAGGTAGTGGCAATCAGCAGCTTAAGAGCACTCCGTTAACGAGGTAACCATCAAAATGGCAACAGATTGTACATTTAAATAAGTTAAAAATGCTGGGCTTCTCAGGACCATTCCTCAGAGTTACAGATTAAAATGAACACATATCTGTTGTTTTCTTATTGGACATAGAATCAGACTGTAGAGCTTCTAGAGATCCTGAAAATTATTTTCTCAGGCATCATTATATTAGTAGACAGGTTAATAAATCTGTTTTAAGCAGAACTTTTGAGACATGTAACATGCAATAAAATATGTTTCCAAGTTTAAAAGAAAAAATATGCAATGCTATAATAAAATTCAATATATCTTTTTGTCTTTTGTAGCCCGAGACTCAAAAATAGCTGTGCCAGCCAACCCAGAGACAGACAGACTCACAGGACACAGACCTAAAATTAAAGTATAAGAAACTTACAAGAATTAAAGCACAAATAATACAAAAACTGTGTATAAGTGATTTTTGAAATATAAGGTTCAATATATAGACTTTGGCTGTCAATGAAATATGGGACACATTTCTAAATTAGATTTTGCTGCTTGTGAAGGAGGATAATCAGTGATGCAGCTTAAAGGGAAGCCATGCATGGATGGATGGAAATGAAGTTGTGTCCGTTCTAGGGATGTTGGCATCGGCTGTTTTTCGTCATTTTTTTATACATTAATGTTTTTGAGCCCTTTATAAAATAATGCACTAAAGGCAGGAATCTGTCTGTATCTATAAATACCACAAATATATTGGGGTACTTTTGCGTCTCAACAATAGTAAAGCATTCAATAAATAAATGTTTGAGCTCATTTTTGGAAAATACAAACCCTATTAAAAGCGTCTGGCTTGAGTAGCTTTAGCTCCATCAGCCACCACCCTTAGAGCGTCCCCACCAACTTTTATCGCAAAGTTACACCCTCGAGACAGACACTTCTTTTTAACAGTTGTAACTTTGACTTTGACGATAGAAAGAAACTAGCATTTTAGCTCAGACTAAGTTTTACTGAGACTCGTTCAGCTATTAAAATCAGGGGACATTAATAGCTGAATATTTCACAGTAAAACATTGGGGAAACTTGATATATAATATACAGTCCTATAGATGAGCAGCTTAGAAAACTGTAGAAATATCCTGCAAAGACCTGAATGGGAACCAGAGTCATGCATCAGATCATATCTGTTCAGATCTGTTTTCAGATAATAACTCTTGGTAATGCAGATCCTATTTCCTGTCTGTCAAACTATGTTATCTTTGATACTTTTTCACTGAAACTAGAAAACCACTTGCAGCTGTTATCAAAAAGATTTGGTTTTAAAGTGTCTCTTTCTGCTGGTTTAACAAAGAAATATTTTTCTATGAATAATCAGTTAGTGGGAAGAAAAGAAAAGCTAAAAATTAGAAAGTTTTTGGTAATCTAGATGCTGATATCCCCCCAAGAGGAGAAAGAGCCATCAGCAGCCGGGTCAGGGTGTTGGTTCTCACACACCGGGTGGCTCTGGTTATTAGAACGATTTAGCTGCAGATTTGATGGAAGAAATCGGGCGATCAGTGATGTGAGATTAGGTTGTGTAACGCTCACTGTCGTCTTTAATTCGTCGGCAGGAAGTGGAGATCTTTGCCGACATGTATCCAGAACTTCACACGGTGATTTCTTCCTGTGTGAGTCTTAAATAATTAAACTTTGCAGGAATGTGGTCCATATTTGGGCTTCCTGCCACTGCTCTAACCCGGTATGCTGCAGTCGAGTTGTTATTGGAAATATGACATCAGTGCTGGGTGTGATCTGTCCTTTGTTCACCTTTGAGCAGCAGGTGGTTTGATGAGAAAAAGCCTCAGGTTGTTTAGTGAAAATACAAACCTATTAGAAAAAAAGAAAAGAACTAAAGGTGTGGCAGTTAGATAATTCGTATCTAATTGGATGTTAACATACAGGCAGTGAAATATATTCACTCGTGCAATCTATTCTCTTTTTCTATTGTAAAAATTGTGTTTTCCAGTCAGTTATACAGTAGAAGACTCCTAAATGTTTAAGACAATGAGAAAATGAGTCATCCTCTGAGGCAGCAGAGGAGGTGCTGGATGAATGCAGACACTAAATCTGAGAATCATGGATCATTTATTCAGGGATTTTCCTTTTTTCCCCTGAGTTTTATCAAGACAGTTGCAGTTTTTGTGCAGCTATGATTTCCAGCAGGGCCAATACTGTCTGTATCAGCTGATTCCATCCATCCTTCATCATCCATCATCTGTCCATTATGGATCCTCCATCTACCAATTCCTCCATCCATCTGTCCGTCTGTCTATTCATCTGTCTGTCCATCCATCCATCCATCCATCCATCCATCCATCCATCCATCCATCCATCCATCCATCCATCCATCCATCCATCCATCCATCGATAATCCACCCATCCATCATCCACCTATCCATCATCCGTCCATCATCGATCACCCGTCTAACAATTCCTCCATCCATCCATCCATCCATCCATCCATCCATCCATCCATCCATCCATCCATCCATCCATCCATCCATCCATCCATCCATCCATCCATCCATAATCCATCCATCCATAATCCACCCATCAATCATCCATCCATCTTCTATCATCCATAATCCGTCCAAAATCCATCCATCCACCATCCGTCCATCATTGATCATTTGTGTAACCATCCCTCCATCTGTCTTTTTTATCCATCTTTATTATATTTTTGTAGATTTGTATAAATTCCCTGACCTTAGAAGCATGGTTGTTTTTTTTTTATAAATGCTAAATGGTCATTATTTGAGTATTTATTCAAATTGACTCTAGAAACCAATTTAATTTAGCAGGAAAAAATGATTTGGGCTGCAACGACTATTTTGCAAATCGATTGATCTGACCATCTTTTTATTTTTAGCGATTAATAATCAAATAGCAAAAGGCTCCTCAAAGAGGATTTTATAAAGAATTTAAACCAAATGAAGCTAAAACTATGCTGTAGGAGGAGATCTGTATAGAGCAGATTGCCAGACAAAAAAGGATTTTTTCTTATTTTTAATTCAAATTTTTATTATATTTTCCCACAACATTGTTATAATTACTGCTCTGAATGGTCTGGCCTACTTTACTCCAGTGCAGTTTATACAGAATTTAAACAGGTGAAGCTAAACTTATAATACTTGAGGAGTTATTTGTAGAACATACTGAAGGAGGAAAAAGGCTTTTAATCTTAATAACAGAATTTTTTATTTATTTTTCTTTTAAATGTTGGTATAATTATTGCTCTGAGTGGGTTTTTCTTTTAGCTAATGGGATAATTTTAATAATCTTTATACTAGTAAATATGTTGATGACAATTTAAAAATATTAATTGCTTCCACGTGATATTTGATGCAGGAATATGGCTTCATTTAATAAGCATTATATAGTTTTTAGCAGAGTAAAATGACTGCTCTGATTGCTTCTAGCTCACTGAGTTCTATGAATATTGCTGCCAGAGCAGTGAGTAAAGAAGTTTAGGAATAAAGGGAATTTTGCGGCTGGTTTCCAGCTCTATTAACTACGACCTGCTGCTGAGAGTCTCTCTCAGTCGTTAGTCTTTGACCTAAACTTGGAAAAGCAGGAGAGAATTGATAAATACAAACTGCCTGTAATGAAAAGAAAACTATTTATGTGTCCAGACTGCTAATCCATGTTTCCTGATTAGATTAGTGGAATGATGTTTTAAATGAAACTGATCTATCATCTTTTGTGTCGTGATGCAAACTTTGGTGCTTTGTAACTTTAGGCTTCCTGCCCGTCGTCAAGATGCATGAGAAAACAAAGCAAAGATCCACAAACATTGTTGTGGTTTTCTGTTAATTCCTTTCAACAGAGCCGTTGCTCCTCCTCTCCTCCAGGCTGCTGATCTTCATCTGCAGACGTTGCCAATGCAATGACTCTTTTTGGACGTTATCATGGTTACCCGTAATCCTGGTGACCCGTCAGTCTGGTGCCATCCTTCTCTGCTCCTGTGCAGTCAGTCGAGGCGATGCACGTCATGGGCAGCGTCTCCCAGGCCAACAACGTCGAAGGGTTATCCTTTAACCAGGACGTAGCTGTTGCTGAAGCAATGTCCCCACCTTCCTCTTTGACATTTTCACACAACAGTAAAAATGGGGCGAGACTACAAGACAGTCCTGCACCTCCTCCTCCTCCGCCTCCTGCTCCCCTTCCTCCTCCACCTCCTCCTCCTCCTCTGCTACCAACAGGAGGAGGACTGAAGAAGAAGAAGAGGGTGAGGAGCTTCTTCTGGAAAACGATTCCAGCGGAGCAGGTTGGGTTATAGTGTTGCTAGAACTCAGTATTTGTATGAAGCTGTGAGAACCAGCCTCACACCAGTGAACTGCCTGTTTCAGGTCAAAGGTCACGCCAACCTTTGGACTCAGGGTCAAGTCCAGCAGGATTTCCAGATCGACGTAAAGAAAATCGAGGAGCTTTTCACTCAGAACGATGGCCCGCCGGCCTCCAAGGCCACGCCCACCAGAGGAGGGAAGACCCGGCTGTCGTTCAGGGAGGCTAAAGACGAGGTTTGGTTCTTCTTATTGTTTGCTAAAGGCTTTTGGTTGCTTTATGGCACGACTCTAACTGTCTCTTCCTTCACACCAGGTCTCCATTCTAGACGCCAAACGAGGGCTGAACATCTCAATCTTTCTAAAACAGTTCAAGAGGTAAATCAAAGAATGAAACCATTTATCTAACCTGAGGATGTTACTCAGTCAGAGAAACAATGACAACCCCCATTTTAAGATCGCAACCATCTATACCACTTCCTAGAATAAAACAAGATTATCAAATTGGTTTAAATTATACATCCCTTTATTCCTAGAGGTGGTGTTCATTTAATCTGAGTCACTGACTAATCAGAAGATCGTACCTGTTTCTGATAAAGCTCTGGGGTGACAGCGTGACTCAGGAAGTGATGGTGCGTTGCGTCTCGTCACCCTCATCCCGAGGTGTTGTGGGTAAAAACAGATGTGGTGATGCTGCTTCTGTTATGGGGGAATGCAAACAGACGGATGCTAACAACATGTGACTGATCCGCAGTTATGTCAGAAATGTGGAATCCTCTGCAACACGCACAAAAGCAGACCGATTACCACACCCAGATATTAAAAACATAAAAGAGTCAGTTTTTTTCCAATCCTACTAGATGACAAAGATTAAAATTTAAATAGAAAACCAACCTATATCTCCTATTGATTTCTCATTTCTTCCTGCGTTGTCCTCCTCTCTGACATGCCTGCATGCCAATGTCTGGACGGACTTGTTAAAAGAGGAGCTCTGCTTGTAGAACCAGTTTTTGCTGACATAACCTGACATAGATTTGTGATTGTAAAGGCCAAAGCATGACCCCTCAGTGTTTATAGGAACAACGGACAGACGGTAGTGAGTATTAGAGTGTTAGTGTGATGTCTGGATCTGATCTTACAGAAGAGTTAATAAAGGTTTGACCGTTCCCCACCAAATATCACCCAGTGCCTCCTCCGAGGTTCTTCCTGTTTTCCTCCTCTAATCATCCCAGCATTCCTTCTCTGACCTTGTCCTCCATCGACCCGAGTCAACCCTATTATGTAGTCAGTTCTAATCCTTTCCAATTTTGTTCCTTCTCGTAAAAATATGAACATCTTAAGCTCTGCCTCCTTTCTTGCTACGTTTACACAACCATCTCCATATTGTACATCAAGGCACGTCTCACTTTGTTACAATGTATTCTTTCTTTTACTTTTTAAGCATCCTTCTGTTCGCAGAGGTTAGCCGTGTTTTAGTCCTTTAGTCATGTATGAAACGGCAGGACAATATATATGATATTGGTAAATAGCAGCTATTGTCCATCACAGCAACACTAATTGATTGATTGATTTAATGGATCTGTATATGTATGCATATATATATATATATATATATATATATATATATATATATATATGGTTATCAAATTCTCCTTTTCTAGATAGTAGAAAAGGAGAACACGGAGCTGACATAACAGGCTGCTGCATGCACAGCGCCATCTTTAATATTTTTTCACTGAAAAAAACAATTTGCCACATATTCTATGAAATTGAAGCTGAAAGGTCAGGGTTTTTAAAATGTAAAATCCAACGCAGCTTAGAACCATCCAAACATTTGGTCGCAGGCAGTCAACAAGGTCAAAGGAAACATGAATAGGAATAAAGGTGAAGCGGTCACCATTTCAACATAGAATCCAATCTGAAGCTATCAGGAAACCAGTCTGTTCCAGGGTTACAGGTTGAGAGTTCAGAATAAGGGATGTTCGCATAGAGACATGGCTGAGGTGGGAGAGTGAAACCTGACCGCTACTGCACAAGGAGCATCAATTAAAACAAGACTGGGCTGAGAAATACTTCTAAGGTTCTATGGCTGGAGTCCATCTGGGTGGAGGTGTGGTGCTGGTTTACTCAGGGGTCTGCAACCTGCAGCTCCGAGGGCCAAAAGTGTCTCTTTGGACCTTTAGGTATGGCTCCTAATAGTGGTTAAAGCTCTTAAAGAACCAGCTAAAGGTTTTAAATATGGGTTAATTTTATAGGCCCTTGTTTGAAGCAAAATTGTTGATTTTCTAAACAGAATGAAGATTTTTTTTGATCACTTTTATTTGTCTGGGCTCAGGGGAAAATGGCTCTTTGGATCTGAAAGGTTATAGAGACCTGAGCTAGTTGGACTTTATTGGGTTAAAGATGGACTGAAACCCTATAGGCAGTTGGTCCACATCTTTCAAGAAGATTGTTGGGGCTGGGTGATTTATTTCATTTGCAAAGAATCACGATTTTTAAGAAAATGCTAAATTCTGGTCCTGTTACATTTAACAAGACTATAAGACTAGTTTTTTCTTATTGCAGCACTTTAAGTTGCTTTAGTAGGTTTTAAGCGGGTTTGCTTTTACGAAAAAGGGAATAAACGTTCTAGTGTGCAGATCCATGCATGCAAGTCGAAGTAATCACTTCTCCAAAAGAAGATAACAGTGAAGTCCTGCAATAATACTTTGAAAGGAAAAAAAAAAACATATACCCTGGAGTGAAACATCATGGTTCTGCTTAGTGCAAAGGAAATCAAAATCGCAATATTGGTTAAAAATAACCACAATTTCGATTTTTGGCACAATCGTTCAACCCTAGTAGCCAGTAAGAGCCATAAAGAAGAAATAATGACATATCCCCCTACCCTTTACAGGAGATTCATGGTTAAGTAATGCATGGAATTGGTCCAAAGGTGTCAGTTCTTGCTGCTTCACACAGAGTTCATCATTAGCAGATCCAGATTCCCTAAATGGGAGGCTCTTTTTCTCACTGTTAGATGAAAATGATAACCTGAGTTCTGCACCAATAACCTGAGAAAACAGGATAACATGTCCTGAACATGTTTACTATGTTCAGACCCACTGCTTAGTAAACAGAACACCTACAGCTGTGAGGGAGGCACACAACCATAAAGGAATCAAAAGTAAACTTATGCTGTCGTATAGAGCCAAAAACATGTTTGAAGTCATCCTGTTTCTCTATATTTGGCTCCAGATAAGCTCCTTAAACTTTTATTTTTATCTGTCAGAATGTGATCGTTTTATTTGTACGGTTTACGACTCATTAACACATCGAAAAGTGTCATTTTAGCACATTCAGAGTGTAATTTAACACTGTTAATTAAATAAAGCATTTTCCCCCCACAGGTCCAATCAGGCAATAGTGGATGACATTCACCATGGCAACAGTGAATCATTTGGGGCGGAGCCTCTGAGAGAGCTGCTGAAGCTGCTTCCAGAGAAAGAGGAGGTGAAACTGAGAAACATCCATCAGCCTCGTCAAACACAAACAACCTGACTTCCAGAAAACGTAGAAAGTCTGTGTTTCATCTGTAAATGTGTGTGAGCAGTGATGATGGAATAACTCTGGGTTTGTTCTGCTGAAGGTGAAGAAGCTGAAGGCGTACCGAGGCGACGTCTCTAAGCTCTCATTGGCCGATTCCTTCATCTATCTGCTGACTCAGCTGCCCAGGTGAGCTTGTATTATTTTTACTTTATCAAATTAAAATTAGTAGAAAAGAGGGACGAGCTTAAAAGGCAACAACTTTAAAATGATTTGACGTTGCTCACATGCTGGACTCTTAATGAGAGGAAATGTATGAGTTCATGTCATTTTAAAGTTGATTAGTCGTTTAAAGCTGTTTCAAGTTGCAGAAAACAGCTTCGGATACATATATGATGCACACAAACTTCACCTAATGCAGGGCTCGATGTTAAACACTGGCCGATCTCACAGGGCAAGTAGTTTTTATTGTTGGGAGAGTACAAAAATTTCATTGCATTTTCCCGCCGGGCACGTGCAATGATCGCAAAAAAAATTATTTATCAATCAAAATTACTTTGAAATCACCGACATTCGACCCAGAAGCGTTGCCGGCGCCATTTTTGTTGTTTTGTACACATTCTCGCGTGATTTGAAAAAGCCGCGTGATTTTCCGCCAGATGGTGTGATTTTTGTCCGGAATTGGCGCGAATCAGACACATTTTTTTCAACTTGACGGCTAAAAAACAACCACAAGGGAAAAAAATGTAAGTACAGTAACACCCCCACCCCCACATAACCTTAGATTAAAGGGTTTAGGAAAATTGACAAAATTGTATTCCATGCGCACAGTTTAAATATTTCTATCATGTGGCAGTCTTCTGTACAGTGATGCAGGTCATACTGTATATTAAAAATGTTCATTAAATTTTTCTCTCTTAGACATTGGAGAGGTGCATTTAAATGTTATAGAACTAAACATGTTAGATTGGCGACCTGCTATGTTATTATTATTGTCTTGTTGATGCATTTATTTTGTCAGGGAACACTAATTCTGAGTCAGTTAAAAATCGGGGAATTCTGAAATTATGTAAAACTGTGGAAACCCTGAATAAAATAACTATGTATAATGATTCTCTAGAAAAGTCACAATATATTAATAGTATTATCTTGTATAAACCGTGACTCTAAAATAAAAGTTATTAATTTGTGACATTGACTTCTGTCTTGTGATTTATCTTAAGATTTTAACCTGTCAAGTTTTTTTTAGATTTTTAACATTACAGTTTATATTTTTCCAAGCACACAACAGTTTAAAGCAAAGTTTAGTTTGAATAGAATGTGCAGGAAGGATTGAAAAGCATGTTAACACGGTAATGTAGGCTTGAGTTCATTATCTGACGCATGCATTTACACACCAGGAACCTGGAAACTTAAAAAATACTAAATTACAAAAAACATATAAAAAACAAACATGTTTCATTGATATATATACAAAAATGAATATTAGGAACTATATTTATCAAACATTTTACTGGGCAAGTAAAAACTGTTTCTGGGCAAATGAAGTGTGAAAGCCACTTGCCCTTTGGGCAAGTGGTAAAAATCCTTAACGTCAACCCCTGTAATGTAAATACGCTGCTGTTTTTTAATATTGGTAAAGCTTACGAGTGCATTTTAAAAACACATGGAGGAAAATTTACCTTTTTTTTCCCTTCCAATGTTCTTTTCTGCATGTTATAGATGTCTTTGCAGAGGGTCTGGTCCTGTTTTGTATTAGCATCATTCATGTTTGATGCTAATCCATGGGTGCACCTTGAACATTTACAATGTATTTTTACATGTTTGCTACCATATGGAGCTGTTAAGACTGGAAAAAAACTGGTTTATAAAATTTAAAATATACATTAAGATATATATATGAAAAAATCTTTACATTAAGAATTTTGAATATTTCAAATATTTATTATTTTTGGAATACTGGACTGCTGAACCCTAAATGCACCAGGGAGCGTTATCACAGATCTTTCCTCCCAGCAGCTTTAAGACTCTATAACCATCACTGTTCCCAACAAGCTATATAAATTGTTACATTCTTTAAACAGTTTCTATCTTAGTCTCATAAATAACACGCTGCTGTCATTTTGCACGCCTCTGATGTTGCTGCTATTTCAAATATCCATTACTGTAAAAATGTCCATGGCTGTATATTGATTATTTTATTCTCTAGGCGCACAGTTTTATATTGTTATAACACTCTACAGTAGAGTATTTTAATGTTTGTCTATTTTTCAATATTATTTTTGCTGCTTTAAACACAGAATGTCTCCATTATGGGACAATAAATGGATTTTCTGTTCTATTCTTTTCTATTTTACTCTATTTTCTATTCCATGATGGGTATTTAGCTAAACGTATTAAGCATTTGATCACTAATCGAGAAAATGTGCATTTATGAAACAGAATAGAAATATAGTTTATTGTCTGCAGAGGTTCAGGTGTATCAGCAGCAAAGTGTCAGGCTGATGGAAGCAAGCAGATAAAGATGAAGCAAGCAGGAACAGGGCTGCATCATTTCAGGAAAAACCCGTTTGTGATAAAGACAATTTCCATTCAGGCAAGGCAAGTTTATTTATAAAGTACATTTCAGTACGAAGACAATCCACAGGGCTTTACGTGAATTAAACAGTCAAATAGAAGCAAAATAAAAGCAAATAAAGATAAAAAAACATGATAAACGCAGTTAGTAAAACAAATAACAAAGTTGGACCACAACCTTAAACTAATAATCCCTCAGTTAGCAGTTTAAATTCAACAGCCAGCTCTGAAAGAATAGGTTTTTAATTTAGACTTAAAGGGAAGCCATATTTAAATGTGAAATCATTCTGGCTTAAACATGTATATAAATGTACTCTTTATCAGATGGTATTGTCCCAAAAGTTAGAAAATTTCTATTTAAAAAAAAATCCTGTCTTAAAATCAGTTTTTTTTTTCATTATCTTAAGCAGACCAGTTAGTTATACGTCAGCTTGTACGCCTACATTTGGCCAATCACATATCAAATGTCAGCTGTCAATCAAATTTTCTCAGTCATAGCATCTTGATTCATATGTTGCAGCTAATATACGCAAAGGTTGAAGCAAGAAATCATAATCATTTCTTTTCCCATTGAGTTGCGTCCCAGTGTTCACTGGGATGGACGTCTGTGTCTTCAGCAGGCGTAGAGCTAACAGAACTGGCAGTGTTGCGAGGCAAGGGCTCAAACATGTACGGCTGTAAGCCTTCTACACCAAACCAAGCTTCTGCCGCCCTGGCGTCCTCTTCCACAACATCTTCGTCCCCGCTTTCCTCCTCTAAATAAAAAATGGATGACGGAGGAGACTCCTCCACGACCTCCGACACTAAACTCTCCTCCTCTTGCATGTTTCCGCTGTCCATAGCGTTCCTTGACAGTGTCGTTGCTAAGTCACCAATTCAGTGCTACTTGGTCCCAATGGAATTTCCCATTGGGAACCTACTAGCACTATGCTAACTGGTTAGCAAGATGCTTCCGAGAAACCAGCCAAAACATCCCGCCCCCTTGATAATCAACCAATCACATTCACTTTAATCACTGTGTAAAGTCGTGCGCCACTCGGGAGAATTCGGAACTGCAGCCGGTGGAACAGCCGCTTCCCTACGACTTTAAAAAAACTCAAACTAAACAAAATTCTCCTGACTCCTGCTGTTCTCCATGATTTAACTTGACTTTAACCTGAACCAGACGACGTCATAATGTCCTACCAAATATTACATCCTCTGCAGGTGTCCTGTTTTACAAACTGTAAAGTGTATCAATATAGATATTGATATCTCTATATCTCTATATATGTATATATAAAGCAGGTTTATTGTGCACTTGAACCCTGAGCTGCTCCACAGGAAAACCTTCCTGCCCCCATCATTGACTTAAAGTCTGCATTTCTCTCTAGTTACTCTGTCCGCATTGAGTCCATGCTGTTAAAGGAAGAGTTCCCTGGTGCCTGTGAAGCCATGAAACAAGATTTAAAAACTCTTCGCTCTGCTGCCAAAGGTAACAAACATTTTATACAGTATAATAAACTATGGAAAAGATACAACTCTGCCTTTTTTTGTTTTTCTGCTCTTGGTCTCACTTTATTCTTTTCAACCTTGTTGATCAACTCAGGTTGATTCTTTACTTTTCCAAACACAAAACATGTAAGAAAAAATAGCAGAAAATCAAAACAAATATAATCTTTTTTCTTTATCATGATGAATATGAGGTTTTTATGAATGGAGGTTTATAAAACACAAAAAGAAAATGTTGCTCCAGAAATTATTGGATGTCATTTTAAAAAAGCAGCCAACATTTAAAGAAAACCTTCTATAAAAACCAGAGCTATGCTGAAGCCTCTTCAGATTCGGTGCAGATGTGCAGAAGGAGACGTCAGCCTCGTCTCTTCACACAATAAAAACTAACACATTGATTATTTTTAGCAGTGTGTGTGTGAATCTCTAACTAACCCTCCATATGCTTACGCTCTTAACACATCCCACCCTCAGAAACTCTCTTTCTCTTCTCTAATGACACGTTTCCTCCCCTCCTTTGTGTTTTTTTTCTCATCTAGAATTAATGTGCTGTAAGGAGCTCCACGCTGTTCTGCACTTGGTGCTGCAGGCCGGAAACATCCTCAACGCTGTGAGTGGGGAATCAGCAACAATTCATTTTTAATCTGAGAGGAAACAATAGCTGAAACAAGGGGGGGGAAAGATAAGCGTTGTACTCTTAACCTATTTAATTGAATTTAAAACCAGTTGAGAAGTTGATTCCGGTTTGTTTCCGGCTGCATACGGTGCAGCGATCATCAAGGTCGACCGCTGAGAGCTCCCTGCAGCTCGAGATGGAGGGCGGCCTGCTGGTCTGAAAATAAAAAAAAAATAAGAGGAACAGATGTTCACTTATTTGAAGCATCATCAGGGAGAGCTAGACTAAAACTGTATAATTATCCCTTATTGTTCACATTGTCAAACTGGAAACTTCCCCTTTCATAGGCAAATTACACAGAAACCATGATGACAGCAGCAGAAAGCTTTCATTTCATACGAGGCTCCTTTAAAAACATGTTTATAATCTGAACCTTCAGCACTCCTCTGGTCCAGAACAGCTGATTGTTCTGACCCGGCTTTCATTTATGGGGGGTGGCCACCGCTACCCTGTGCCACCCCACTGACCAGTATAAACCCTCCCATTATGCACAGCCAGCAACGTAACATTAAAAATCACACAATAAACCAAGGTATGATTAGGTTTTTATTGAAGTCTTTATGATTTCTACAGGTAGGGTTACCACAATAGCAGATTCAAACCCTAAAATTATGGCTTTTAGTCTCAGTGTGCCACCACAAGGTTTTTAGTGGCCCCATCTGGCCCCCCCTATGAAATATTTCAGGAGGCGCCACTGTTTATCGTACATTAAAATACTAAAATCAATAGACAGCATGTTAATATATTGCAACAATACAGGACGGAAATAGACAGTGATGGAACAAAAACAACAATATATAAGAAATAAAAATAAGAGTTTTCTCTATTGTTACTTAAGAATAAAAAAACTTAATTTAATGTATTTAAATCTATAAATAAAAATCTGAAATGTGTGGCTTTCACCTTTATCCAGACCCCTGTACTCTAATAACCCCAAATAAAACCCTGTTCAGCCTGTTTCCATCCAGAGTCACATGATTTAGTCCAGCGTACATTCAGCTGTTCTGGATTTGGACTCAGATGTTTTTTATAAGAACAATACTGTTCAGGAACGAAATTTAAAGCAGGTTTCAAAACGATATAAGATTTGAGCATCTCCCGGTGCTCTGTTCAATCCCTCATCTGAAAGTTAAAATAATTAATACATTGAAATTGAAGTTTGTGGCCTACATGGGAGAAGTCATGAGAGAAGATAAGATAACCATCCTGACAGTAGAACAAGGCGATGGCAGCATTATGCTGAGGGGATCCTTTGCTGTTCTTCTGTTTGTACGTATTTTTGGCTTCATTGCGTCTTCGTGTTACTAACTGCTGTGTGTTTTTGTTCTGCAGGGAGGTTCTGCAGGAGACGCTGTGGGCTTTAAGCTGTCCTCCCTTCTGTCTCTTGCAGACACCAAGTCCAACAAACCGGGGATGAACCTGCTGCACTTTGTGGCTCTGGTCAGTAACCTGGATCTGTTTGTGAGGATTGATTTTGGGACAAAATTCTACACCTTGTCTTTATTGTTGAACTTTTCACCTTCTGTATTTATTTTTGTGCCTTTATTTAAATGCTTGGTCGGTGGATTTATGCAAAACAAAAAAAATGTGTTAATTACTGCCTCATGTTTCCGTCTGGCTTCAGTTTAAGTGAAGTTAAAGTTTTTTCTTTTGTTTATAAAAATAAAACCCTTTTAAGAAACATTAGAATGATCAACCTATTACATTAAGTTTTCCTTTTTCCACTTACGTTTTTCAAGAACTTAAAGCACAGAAGAAAAACCTTGAAAAAATGCAGAAAAATAACAGCAAGAAAGGAAAACAACAGCTTTGATGACACAAAAAAGTGGAAATCCACAAAGGCCACAGATTTTATTTATTTTATTTTTATTTAACCTTTATTTTACCATTAAGTCCCTTGAGATAAAATCTCTTTTTCGAGGGAGACCTGGCCAAGAGGCAGCAGTACAGTAAGACATATAAGAACATCATAAACTAGACTCTAGAATATCAGTTACAATTCTCTGTGCAAGCGGTTTTCAATAGTGATTTAAAATGCTGTAGAGGAATAAGAGTCCGTAATTGCAGGGAGTTTTGAATATTGTGCCACGACCATGGTGCTGCATAGGAAAATGATGTTTTGCCAAGATCTGTGTTGATCCTGGGAATAGTGTGCACAATAGACTAATTTTACGCAGGCAAAAGAAACAATGTTTATTTATTTGTCTAGTTTATTTTCTCCTCAGGCAAGCAAACAAAAAAACACAAACATTTCCTCCATGTTTCTCTTGCGCTGGTAAAAAAAAAACCATACGCCCACCCAGATGCATGCTGGTCCCACTATTGACAGCCTATTTATAAAAAAATAATTCACCAAAATTAATCATAACTAACCAAAAACAAAGGAATATGACTAAATAACCAAAAAACATAATCGCATAACAGATATCAAACAATTAAGTAAAATAAACTTAGCTAGATTATGCACAAAAACAAAAAACATTTTTAATTATTAACAAAAAATAATTGGCCCCTACAAAACAAGAACGTACACCTGAAACATTCACTCAGTTAATCAAGCCTAATGGAGAGACTGGAAACAAAAACATAAGAGAAAGCGCAGCAGCATCTTTTTATTAAAATCAATCACAGATTTGTATCTGATCCATTTAACTCTGTTCCATAAAGTTTACCTTTATAGTTGTTAACCAAATCTCCAAAATAAGTGGGAATCAATCCTGTTCTGGCTTAGCAGTTGGACTCCACCTCCTTGTCATCACTTTCTTACTAGCTACTAAAATAGCCTGAAGCAATGGAAATCATTTCTAGATTTAACCTCTGAAGCCTGAGCTCAGCTCAGATTTATAAAGCTGCCTTATATTCTACTTCCAAACACCTCGTCTGATACTTTATTAAAACCTTTATTTACCTGAAGTTTAATATATTTAAATCTGTTTGGATTATTCTACTGTAGCTGAAGTTCAGAGTCCATCTTTAATTGAAATTATTTATGTTTTTGTTTTTTGTTTTTTTACCTCAGGAAGCTCAGAAAAAAGACAAACATCTGCTGGAGTTTCCTCTGAAACTTCCTAACATCCAGGCTGCATCCAGGTGAGACACGACTTTATCTTCATACAGTAAACACCACAGATAAACAAATTAAGCTTTATAATTATGCCCAGCTGGGGAACAACTCATCATGTCTGATAAATGGACAATATCTATCAGAAATATGAGAAATTTCTTATAACTTGCGAAACAGCGCCTCCTGTTGACTTTGGTTGGTAAAGATATTCCCGCCCCAAAGCCGAATCCAGCACCAGCCTTTGAACGAGACTCAAATATTTAAGTTTAAATAGAATAAATGAATATTTTTTCATCAGGATCTCTTTTGAAACGCTGGAAGCTGAACTGCAGCTGCTGACGTCTCGCACGCGCTCAGTAGAGGAGAGCATCCAGAAGGAGACAGAGCTGCTGCAGCAGCTGGACAGCTTCCTGCAGGTAACATTTACTCATAGACACATTTTAGACTTCCTGATGATTCATTTCTCAGCAACCCAGAAAGAAGGTAAAACTGTCTGAAACATTTACATATAATTTCTCTAACAGTCTCATGTGTAAGTTCACATTTAACTAATTTCTATTTAATTAAATTGTCAATGAAATTCTAAGCAATATAAAAAAAAAGTCACTTCATTTGTTAGAAGGTAACAAAAAAGTGGAAAAATACGGAGAGAAGTGTGATGGGAGAAAATATGTTTTAATCTACTCTTAGCTATGACTTTAAGTATTGTCTTCACTTAAAAGAATGAATTTATTGAAGATGAATAAGTTAAAGCTTAAAAAAAAACCATGAGATTAACGAGCTCCCGCCGTCCGGCCGTGTCACAGAGCGCCACGATGTCCCTGTGTTCGCTGCGCGGCAGCCAGCAGCAGCTGAAGAAGGAAGGCAGAGAGCTGGTGGACTTCTTCTGTGAGGACAGGGACACCTTCAGGCTGGACGACTGCTTCAGCATCTTCCACACCTTCTGCACCAAATTCACAAACGCTGTCAAGGTTTGGTCAAAACCCCGCTCAGACATAAACTTTATTAAATGTTGAAATCACTATTTCAAAAAGAGATGCAAGACTAATTTTATTTTATTACCTCTCATTGTGTTGATTTTAGATCAGACATTTTTTTATTTTATAGCATCACTTGCAGTAAGTAAGTTTTAAATAGAGGAGTTGGTTTGGTGTCATTTTTTTGTTTGTTCTTGAAGGAGAACAAAGAGAGGGAGGCAAAAGAAGCAGCTTGTCGTCAGCGAATGCGCGAGGAGGAGCTGAAGCGACACTCTTGGTCTGGAGGAGAGGAGGTATGTGGAAACACAGACATTACTCTTTACAGCAAAGTCCGAAGAGTCCTGGTCTGATCGTAAACTGCTGCTATGGTCCGATTTTAGGTATCTGGAGCCTTCGGCTCACGCTGCCGCAGTGAGACAGACATGTCAGCTGCAGCGACCAGGGATGAGGCTGGACTTCTGCTCGACCTCCTGACAAGGTCCCGCTCCTCTCTGAATACCAACCACATCAGTCGGGGACGCTCGGGGAACTTCCAGCGAAGCCGTAGGTCTCCTTCCAGCTCACCGTCTCTGGCTGCAGAGCGAGACCTGAGCGCACTGTTGGAGAAGTCCAACGACCTCAGAGTTCCTCGGCAGAGAGGCAAGGAGGACACGAGGAAAACCTCCCCATCAGCCTCCTCTAAACACGAGCTTCGGAGTTTAGGACTCTCTCCTTCTAAAGTATTGACTGTCTCGCCAACGCACTTAGCGATCCCCTCTAGCAGGATCGAAGAAAACACCAACGATACGGACATAATTTACCTGAGCATTGATAGTAAGACAGAAATGAACAAAGAAGAAATTCCAATCAAACCTACCTCTGATTCAAAACAGGAATCTGAGCTCCATGACAACGGGAGAAGCCAACTTGTTCCTGGTTTTAAGGGTCAGGAGACTGGTTGGAGGATTAAATGTGATGATCAGATTTCCAGCGGACAGAGCAGCGGTGCTGCTAAAGGAAACATGTCTGTGGTTTTGGAGAAATGTACCCTGGTACCTGAGCTAAAAGTGTTTGACAGTACCACCACCCAGACGGGCCGCGATGAAGACCACTGTACCAACCATCGCACCATGACTACACGCCTGGAGGAAGAGGGGGTAGACAAACTGCAAAATGACGAGAAGAAATCCTCAAGAGCACCAAAAGAGAAGACAGAGGAGCAAGAAATCAAGGTGATCGTCTGGTGTGTGACTGGTGTGTGTGAAGCAACTGGTGAAAATGCACAACCAGACACCCATGGAGAAGGACTGCATGGTGAAAACCAACAAACGTCCTCGATAACGGCCAATCAGGAGTGTTCAGACGCTCAGCTGGACTGTAAAGGCACAGAGTCGGTCCCAATCAGCAGCCAGCCCGTCTCCCACTTCAACAACCCTGATTCTTCCCCTGGATTGCATCCTGTAAAACCTGCATCAGCCGAACCAGAACCACAGGCAACAAAGGCTTCCCCAGCCAGTGGGGACCCCGCATCAACCTTTGATGGTCTGGTGTCACCCAGTCCAGGTTCTCCTACTGCAGAGGCACCGGCGAAAGATCAGAAAACAGACAATCCAGAGACAGAGGAGGAGAAATCAACCAATGCGGTACCTTGCTCAGAGAACAAATCTGATAATAGAAGCACAAACAGGAAGACCTTGAAACAAAAGACAGCAGAAGATTCTTCCACTGGTGGTAAAACAAAAAGAACAAACTCAGCCAAACTCTCCACCAAGAAGTTGCCGAACTCCAACTCTGGAAGCACTGGGATGAAACCATCAAACACAACCTCCACAGGTGGGAGATCTGTCCGTACTCTCACCAGCTCTGAGGACCAGAGCATGAGACGAGTTGTACCCATTACAAGGATGAACCCCGGTTCTTCATCCAGAGACAGAAAGGATGAAAAGCCAGGAGTTTACACGCGGGGGTCCTCCAGAACCGCAGCACACTCTGGTCCAAACATCTCCACCCTCAACAGCTCATCCACCCGTCGGGGAGAGAGGCCCAGAACTGCTCCGTCAACCCAGCGTCCGAGCACCACTAAGACACCAGAGTCCAAAGATCTGAGAGAGCAGAACCAGGACTCACAGGGGAGGCCGCCTGTCCGGAAACCCTTAACGAAACCCAAAACTCAAACAGAGGAGAAAATGTGTCTCTCCAAGCTCCGGGCACTCAATCAGGCTGGAAATAGGGGCAGTGTCAGCGCTCCTGTCACGCCTTTGCACAAATCAAGATCCCCTTCATCGTCAGTGCTTCCTGGTTTTACCCGAAGCACAGCATCCTCTTCTTTCAGAAGGACAAAACCTCCTCTTGGGGCTCCTCATTCCTCCAACAGTAGTTCCCCTAAAGCCGCCCCCAACACTTCCTCCGCTCCCTCGGCTGCTTCTTCATCCCCTTTTACCAAAACAGCCTCTTCCAGATCAAAAGATCCCAACGTGTCCTCCTCGTCCTCTTTAAGGAGGTCTCACAGCAACAGATCACCTGCTCCATCTCCCCGACACGGCTCCCTGGCGCCCTCTAAAGGCCACAGACGAAAAGACAGTGGGAGCCTCTCTGACAAGTCAACCCATTCCAAAGAGTCGACCAAAGCCAGCAGACCCAGCTGGAGATAACAGATGGAAACATTAAGTCTCTGATTCTGGAAGCTCAAAGTAAACTACAGAGTCCAGAGGATTCATCCTGAATCTAAAACACCTACCTTGTTATTTCAGGATGAGGAACTTCTCTAATGAGCTGTTTATTATGGGTGCAAGGATGTAAACATTGAAAAACGCTAAATGTGTTGATCATGTGCTTTAAAAGGTCAACAGAGAACACATTCAGAGAGGGAGACTAAGCTATTGTCAGATCTGTGTGAAATGTTTATATATGCATAAAATATTATGGGGTTGCACAATGGAACAGTTAGTAACACTGTTTGCAGTAAGAAGTCCCTGGGTCTAGATATGGACCCCGGGGTCTTTCTGCTTCTTCTCCTGTACAGGCATGAGTTCCCTCCAGGTTCTATGGCTTCTCTCAACAGTCCAAAAACACGACTGTTAGGGGAATTCTCTCTAAATTACTGGATGGATGGATGGATGGATGGATGGATGGATGGATGGATGGATGGATGGATGGATGGATGGATGGATGGATGGATGGATGGATGGATGGATGGATGGATGGATGGATGGATGAGGTATTATTCGATTAATTGATTGAAACACTAATCATGAATGTGATTTTTGTTTTGTTTTTAAAAGCTGGTTGGTTGCAAAGTTCAAGGCAAACTTATGAGATCCAGTAATTAATCTCTGACTGCTATATTGTCAGTCAGAAAAATGCTGATTAATGTCACTATCAACATTTGTGGGAACTGGTGGTCTAGTGGTTAGGATATAGCGCTTGAAATGCTCAGTTTCTGAGTTTGAGCCCCCACTCCCACAGACTGACACTCTGGGTCTCTGATCACAGACCCTTAACCCCACACTGCTCCCCTGGCATCCTGCAGCTTAGGATTGGGAATTGATAAGATTTTCACGATTCTGATTCCCTTATCGATTCTGTGAAACGATTCGATTCTCTTATCGATTCTGTGAAACGATTAACTTGGTAAGTCCACAGGGACATTTGTCTACCTTCGCCTGGAACATTCTATTTCTGCCTGCCTCTGCGAAAACAGAAGGCAGTGAACTGCGAGCCTCTGCGCCAGCCAGACTACCCGTCTCATCACAGTCATCTAAATCTAATGGAGAAGGGATCTGTTTAATGAAAAAGCATTACTGTACAATTTCGGGAAATAAACTCATCTCCTCCTGATTTAAATAAACGATCATCACCTTTCTCTCGCTCTCTGAACTGCGGAGCAACTTCGTAGCATGTTTAATAACCCCAAAGAGAGGTAGGAAACTGGTTTATTTCCAGAAATTGCATATGCTTTACTAGGAATCACATTAAGCAGAGCCAGGGATATAAAACTAGCTACTTACCACCAGAGTTGCCTTCCATGCTGGTCGTAACTTTAGCTTCTGTCCGAAAGCATAAAAAAAACATGGAATTCGTTAAAATGTATGCTATGTTGTGTGTGCAGGTGTTTCTGCATGTTGGATGTATTTCCTCCCGATGTAATTGCCACTTTGCAATTATTGCAAAGCTCCTTGTTGTCATCTTTCTCTTCCTTAAAATGAAGCCAAACTTTCCATCGCTTTGACCACTTTTGTTTTGCTTTTCTAGACTTACACCTGGTCACGTCGTACTTGCTTACTGAATGCCGTGTGCGTAACTTGCGTGAAAATTTTTACGTAAGTTGTGCTGCCCAGCACTAGGCTCTGGTGCGGCTTGGAATCGATAAGAGAATCGTTAAGCGAGCTGCCAAACGGTGCCATGGAATTGGAACTTACAGAAACGTGTGTTTCAATTCCAATTTTCGATTCCCATCCCTACTGCTGCTAGCCAAGGGGAGAAATTTAAATGCAGAGGTAAATTTCTCCAATGTGAGATAAAAAGTCAAAGTCAATAAAAAGTTCAATTATTAATTTGTCTGTATGGGAGCGCTGTTTTGCTTTTTAAAACATGTTGATATGATCCTGCAGTGTTTAATATCTGTTTCATTTTGTCTCAATAAACCAAAAGCAATCTTTCCTTATTTGGGTAGTTTACTTTGCATCTTGCCTGTTTTGAGAGAGAATTTTTGCGCACCTTTATTAGCATTACAACTTTATTCAGACTCTCTTCAATTCAATTCAGTTTATTTATATGGCACTAGTTCACAACACATGGCACTTTATAGAGACAATTCAACCAGATCATACATTCAGATTGTTTTCTAATGAAAACCAGTTGATTGCATCGACTCGTTGGTTCATCAGCAACCCTTCACACCAAGCGTGCATGTAGCATGCTTGGCCCCATGTTAACCATCTAGAAAAAGTTCACTTTCTATTTTCAGGTCCTGACTAAATTCCATAAAAGTTTACCATCACAGAGGAACAAAGCACCTCCCCGCTCCAGCCGGTGAACAATACCTCCTTAACGACCGACCTTTAACAATCCTAGACAGGTTTCAGGTATTACAGGAGACAATCCCCCCCTTTAACGACCGACCTTCAGAATCATAGACAGGTTTCAGATATTACAGGCTAACAATGGAACCAAACGACCCACTCATCGGTTTCCATTTGCATGTTTCCAACCAATACAAGGCCTTGTCTATATATAGACTCAAACTCACTGCGGATCCAGACATTTGAATTGAGAAAGCTTCCTAGAGAGGTTGCGAAACGTCTTCAAATCTTGGAAGCCAAGTCCAGTGGATTGTTTTTTAAACTTTTACGGAATGACTATGACCTGGATGACTGAGAACCTTCATCAGCGTCCTGACTAAAGAGTCTGATTGGACGATCCTACTTTGAGATAGAGTGGGAAGGTACCAACACCCAGGCCTTGGCCTATAAGAGCATCACAAGATCCGGAAGCTCCATACAAAACTTGTTTCAATTCAGTTCAGTTTATTTCTATAGCGGCAAATCACAACACATGTCATCTCGAGGCACTTTACAGTTCAACCAGATCCTACAGTCAAATTGATTCACAATTTTCTATTTAAGGAAAACCAGTTGATTGCATCGACTCATTGACTTCAATGCAATCCCTCACACTAAGCATGCTTGTAGCGACAGTGGAGAGGAAAAACTCCCTTTTAACAGGAAGAAACCTCCAGCAGAACCAGGCTCAGTGTGAGCGGCCATCTGCTGAGGCTGACTGGGGTTCAAGGAGACAGAAGCAGAGATACAAAAAGCAGCTGTAAAAGGCGGCCCCGTCCAGGAAACACACAGCCAGGCCGACGAGCTCCGAGCCAGCTCCCATGTCAGAGGATGAAGGGAGCACATCCAGCCAATCACAGTCAGAGAAACAGGACTATAATGGAAAAAAGGCAAATCTCCAACATCTATAAACAAAGTTGTTGATGGCACAGCTGATATTTATATAGGAACAGATGAGGCAAGGCTTCATCTGTTTAAATTTACCCTAAGGAGGTTTGGTTATTATCATGATCTTAAATCGAGATTATTTTAAAAAAACTTTTTTCCTAAAGCACTTCTCTTGTTTGAAAGATAAAAATAAGATGTTAGCTTACATTTGCTCAATCAGAAAGGAGAACGTTTTTAGGTTTACACAGAAGAATAAATAGTTAGCATAGAGGTGACAGGAGGCAACAATGTACAAGAAATCTAATAAAACTATAAAATGTATTTTATTTTTAGTACTACAAATAGATAAAAAAAAGAAAAACCTTTTATTCTTTTTTAGTGATAAAAGGGATAAAAAGAAGGCAAGAGGTTAATTAGGAACCCCAATTTCTGGTTTTAATTTCAGAGAAGTCAGTGATTCTGAGCTATTTTCTCTTTTTAAATAGGAATGACCACAGATCAGCTTTAAAGAGCTTTTGAGTTTCCAGCCTTTGAGAGCAAGATGGGACATTACCAGGAACCGCGATGCTGTCAGGATGCAGTTTGTCTAAGTTAACAAGCCAAGAAACTGGTCTATTTTATCACCACAGTATCATTCTCCGAATATGACATAGTTTTTAGGTTCTTTATCAGATCAGAAAGATACACTTCACTGTTTTTTGTTTTTGTTTGTTTTTTTCTAGCTGTTGGTCTTACTATTTTCATGCTAAACAAATTATCAGGCAAAGTTTTTTGAAACTAAACCTAAAGATCACAGATAATCGTCTAGATTCCTAACTAAAGCAAGACGAATGAGAGTTAAGAAGCCATCCTTAACTAAGGAATTTAATCAGCCCCTTAGCAAAAAGTAGTATACTTGAAGTACACTAAATTGGGACATTTTATAACTTTACTATGTGTTTAAAATGTGTTTACTAAAGTATACTTTAGTAAACACATTTTATACTTCTCATTGTAAGTCAAGTACACTTGACTATACTATTGTTAACCCTTTAAAGCCCAATCCAAGAATAAAACGAAACAGAATTTTGTTTTTGGTTTGAAGTCCTTATTTGGCCTTTTAACAAAAATATGTAAAAAGAAAAAACAGAAATAAATTTTTGATAATAATAATTTATTACTATGTGATAAGTCCAGATTATTTTTTGTGTAGTCTTCTACTGGCTGTTATCAGGTATATCTGATTTTGTACAATAGGATTTTGAGCAAAGTTTTTACCATTAAATTATGCAAAAGGTGTCAGACGCAAAACATTTCAGAAACCGAATGTATCAAATACGATACATTTGGCATTACAGGGTTAAGTATATGAAATATAGTTTAGAATAAGTAAACTCTAAGTGCACTGCCTGATATTTTAAATTAGTGCACTTTTAGTATACTTGAATAAACTACTCAGCCGGTAAACACTTAAATTACTACCTAGTAGGTAGAAAAATATATATGCTACAATCTTTGGAATATTTCCCATGAATGTGAGAAAACTGCTAATTTTTCTAGAATGTCTTTCAGCATAATCAGTTATTGGGAATATTCGTTGTTGGTAAATTTATATTTTTTTCTGTCAACTAAACCTTTGCAAACACTGTCATCATTACTAAGGAGGTAACAGCATTTATTTGATATAAAGTACCCTTACTGGATATAGTGATTTATTCTAAAACGTTCATAAATGACATTTTTAAAGCCATTTATAAAAATAATAATTATTGAGGAGTACAAAGAAGAAAACAACTTTTTCAACAATATGTATTCTTAAATTACTTAAAATAGATACTTTAAAATAGATAGATGTTAATTTGCCTCGTGGATCAAGCCTGAATACATCTATCTTCTTTGTAAATTTATATGTTTAACAATTAAGAACATGAAGGTTATGTTTTTGTCCATTGTGAAACTACGGCCGATAGGGGGCACTAATGATCCACGCCCATGTTTTACACCGGACGTATATTCATGACGTACCGGATGTGGAATTTTGAATCGTATCAACCGCTGAGCTGCAGCGTTGATATTCATCTGAGAAACCAGCAGCATCTGCATGAACCGACAGCTGAAGGAGAAACAACGATCCTATAAAACCTGCGAATTTCGGTAAAGTTTGGAAATGATCTATTTTCTCTGTTCCATCCGGTAAAACCGACAGAAAAGGGACCTAGTTGCATTTATAGATTTTCTCTCAGAGCTCATACTGTGTTGTTTTTTTTATTCTGGGGTCTAAAATGAGAAGAAATGCTTCAATCTGGCGTTAATTTCCTGAGGTTTTATCATCAACGTTTAATGTTTTTTTTATAATTGCAGATGTGTTGCTAAGTAGGCTTTTCCAACTTTTTTTTTTTATCATTTCAATGATTTTTTTCATTACTTTAATATCTCGGGTCACGTGACTCGTCCTTTTAAGTGTGTGATATCCTTCGTGGTTTTTTCAATAACGATTCGTTTTTATAGAAAACAGAAATTATTTCCCCGTTTTTCCTTAAAAATAACTTATTTTTCTCTTTAATGAAAAAAAAAAGTTCTATTTAAAAAAAAAATTATAGGAATCGAGCTAGCAGACCTAGAAGAGGATTAGGGCCACTGAAAAAAAATAGAAAAAAAGTTTAAAGATTTTAACATTTTATTTCAGTGTAATATGAGGAAAAAAGTCAGGATTTCTGACTTTAATCTCAGGATTCTGACTTTATTCTCACAACTCTGGCTATTTTTCTCAAAATTCTGGCTAATTTTCTCACAATTCTGACTTTAATCTCACAATTCTGACTTTAATCTCACAATTCTGACTTTAATCTCACAATTCTGACTTTAATTTCACAATTCTGACTTTAATCTCAGAATTCTGACTCTAATCTCAGAATTCTGACTATTTTTTTCACAATTCTGACTTTAATCTCACAATTCTGACTTTAATCTCAGAATTCTGACTCTAATCTCAGAATTCTGACTCTAATCTCAGAATTCTGACTCTAATCTCAGAATTCTGACTCTAATCTCAGAATTCTGACTATTTTTCTCCTCTCAATTCTGACTTTAATTTCACAATTCTGACTCTAATCTCAGAATTCTGACTCTAATCTCAGAATTCTGACTATTTTTCTCCTCTCAATTCTGACTTTAATTTCACAATTCTGACTCTAATCTCAGAATTCTGACTCTAATCTCAGAATTCTGACTCTAATCTCAGAATTCTGACTCTAATCTCAGAATTCTGACTCTAATCTCAGAATTCTGACTCTAATCTCAGAATTCTGACTATTTTTCTCCTCTCAATTCTGACTTTAATTTCACAATTCTGACTCTAATCTCAGAATTCTGACTCTAATCTCAGAATTCTGACTATTTTTCTCTCAATTCTGACTTTAATTTCACAATTCTGGCTATTTTTCTCTCAATTCTGACTCTAATCTCAGAATTCTGACTCTAATCTCAGAATTCTGACTCTAATCTCAGAATTCTGACTATTTTACTCTCAATTCTGACTCTAATCTC